TACATTCAAGCCTACTGTCTTCTCAAGTTTGCCCGGAAACATATCCAACTTGGGTACATTCAAATATGGGTACATTCATTGTGATAAAAATTTAAGACGACAGAAATTTCTATGTGATTTCGTTCAAGAATATTTGATTTGAAAGGTCGATGGCTCAAATTTTCATTCTCTTAGACGCATCCTCGATGCTGAAATATCTTCGACTGGTCATCATGATCCTGTTTACGACTGATAGAATACAGTTGAAATCAAGTTCAAAAATAAACGTATCAATCATAATCTGTTCCTTTCCGTAATCATGATATGTACCTAGTAATAAGCCTAGTAATTTCATATTATATCGAACATATGTCTGTGACGATCAGCAACCAAGCAGAATTCATTCATCATCTTAACATTGCAATCATCTGAATGGGATAAATATTTTCATCATTCAATTCACTTCCAACCCTAACAACTTCAGCATTTATTTTGTTCCAAGCTTAATGCCTAATATATGAAATGCCACGTCGTATAATTCTTATCAATACATCTTGGTTCGTAGTTTTATCTCAATTGTTGTCATTTTCACAAAATCATGTTTCTCATGTTGTTTTGTTTATGCGCATGAGAATTGCAACAAAATTATTTCTGTTGTAACACTGACGCATCCTGATTGCTTTTTCATCGCATTATATATCACATTCTCCATCAAGTCGCGCCCCCATAATTCAATATCTTAACTCTAAATATCCTTCTTCAAAAACGTATTCTTCCATTCATTCTCGTCTTCAAACAAATCAACCGTTCCGAACAGCATCAAAATTTGACCAAATCCAAGTGTCTGCAAAGTTCTTGCCAGCCTCCAATACCCAACTTGTAACACACTGATTTTCCGTCGACGTTCTAACTCGTCGATTATCGTCAACTTCTTCGCTTTTGTAGACTCCATCTTCAGGTATTGCATTCCTCCCAAACTATTCACCGTTTCTGTAACCGTCCTTATTTCGATTTTATTCATTAATGCAGTACCTATCTCGTCTCTTTGCTTATAAAATAAACGAATTTTGCGTGGCGGAAGTTATCACAACACCGTACCACTAGACTTCCAGTACAGTTCTACCTGTTTCACCACACTTGAGAATTTTACTCTAGAAGTAAAACCTCCGTTCGCGAGCGAAAACCGATCCCGTGATGTACCGTTTGCCATTTGGCTGCTCTAACTCTCAGCTGTACTGAAAACCGTTCAAACTTTACCGAATGGGTGTGCGGAGTTTGCAATCAGTTTAGCGCACAAAATACGAAACTTCGATTCCCGCTCGCGGGGCAAAGTTTTGTTCGAAACCGAGTAGTCTACAAATATTGCTGATATTATCGAACCTGAACTGGGCTATGATTTGGCTTATCTCTAACTATCTATTCATGCTTTCATTCCAGAGATTATGAATTATTGAGTTTATGGAATAGAGGCAATGAAGTTTTGTGCGATTTTCGTCCTCCATCTGAGCTTCATTTTCGAAAAGGTTCAGAAGTTTATATTGAGTTGGGTGGAAAGTTTCGATCGGATTATTTTTCTCCAAATTTTTTGCGTCTTTTCAGCAACAGGATGATTCTGTGATAAACTGGCGACAAAATGTGAAAATGTTACGAGGTTGAATTTATCTGGTTAAAAATTCCAAATGCGTGATGCAGTTGCAAAATGCATTATTTTTATTACTATTATTATATTAATGCTATCAAATTAGGTACATTTATTTCTGAAGAAATGATGAGTGTTCATTTAAGGTTATAACTTTGAAAATTTTGTGCTGATTGTTTGCTAATTAATGGATCATTTGAGACAAACAATCCACTATTAACTTGTCTTTCAGTTGACCATTCGATTCTCATACGGCACTAAACTAGCACTAAAAGGGAAGGAGTCAATGATTTTGTTCGTCGCGGTCACGAAAACCTGAATGTACTCCTTAACAACTTCTTTCCTGACCCAGCCACTCGCTACTCCTCTTATGACTACCGATCAACAAAATTCAGTCAGTTCACATCCTATACAATGAACCATAGCATGCTTCAACTATTCCAACGACTTTCATGAAAAAATTATTAACATTGAAACGAACTGAAATTTAAATGAATTAAATATTGTCCATAACACAGTAATAGGACCGATAAAGAACGCCATACAGTCAATTATGTCGGGATGAACAATTAAAATTAAAGTGTAAATATTAACAAAAAAAGCGATAGCAGTAAAATAAGATAAGATAAGATTGACAATAAAAACATCTTCACAATTCTGACAATAATATCGGTAATAAAATTAAGATCACTGTAGATGGCAATGATAGGAGCAAAGGTAAAATGATAATAATAAATAACAGAACTATCTACAAAACTGCTAAACATCACAATTGGTGAGTGGATTTAGCAAGGCAGGAAATAAGACGGATGGCAGTATGCTTCTTATTCAAAGACTCATCGAATGAGTAAATGCTGGAGAGAGACTGACAGCGACAGACTGGAAAGTGGACTGTCTATGTAAATGACAATTCCACGTTACTAGTCTTTTGGCCGAGATCACAGAACAAATAAACGATCAGATTAATGAACTGATTAGTCATTTAGATGAATAAGTTGAGTAATGATCACAATACTGTAGTAATAATACAATTTTAATAAACCGCTGAGTAAAACCAAAATTAAAATCGTTTATCAAATTACGAATTGATGAATGAATGTATTTTATTTAAATCACAGTAAATCAATCACCCTTACCAAAATTAATATGAGGATGAAGTTAGTTTTCGGCGAATCGACTCCTATATCCACCACGTCCCAGATTCCAACTAAACACATTTCTTGCGTTTCCTCATGTCAAGTTTGGTCCGCAATATACTGAAAAAGTTTAGCGCTCTTCAGTTAATTGCACTGCTAGACGAGCATTTTGAATTGCACTTGCAATGATACACAACAAATGACGAGAAATATGGCGATGAATTTTATCCAGACTTACGCTAAGATTCACGCCGAGGTTGGGGTATCCACCAAACAAATCAAATGAGCAAAAGGGCACTTTCATTCTCGCGTGAGGTATCAATTAAGCAAAGCCGGGAGGAGGAGGGGGGGGGAGCGGAGTTCTTTCATAGAGGTCTGAGGTATTTACTGAACACTGCAATGGTTCTATTACGCCAGGCTGAGGTATCCATGAAACAAAGAGATGGTTCTTTCTTACCAGGCTGAAGTATGTATTGAACGAAAGGATGGTTATTTCATAGCAAGCTAAGGTATCTATTGAGGAGTGGAATATTTCTTTCAAACTCAATCAGGTGTAGAAGAAGCATCCCCTTGTTTCATGAGGTGTCCATGAAACAAAAGGATGGTTCTTCTACACCGTCCACGAAACAAGGGAAGAGTTGTTTAATATCGAGATTGGGTATCCGATAAGCAAACAGATTATTCCTTGGCAAGAGCGTTAGCCTAATGGTGAGTTCAAACATAATCGATCGTCATATTTATAAGTAGGTAATGGATTATTGCATGCAATAACTTGTTGTGACTGCTGAATGCACATTCAACAAATACGCGCATAAATTGATGAAGCAACGAAAAGCAAGACGGGTGACGGAAGCATGTCTGATAAATATCGTTTACGAATAAGCAATGAACGAACAAAACTTAACACTAACTGATTTATGGATGATCGTGACGGTGCGTTCTCTCTGCTGCAAATGCCATCGGCAATCAGCTGCTCACGAATCTCTGACTGACGACTCATACCCAATCGAGCCCGATAGTCACGGATCGCGATCACTAACGGTGACTCCGTACGACCTTCTTTCGCATCCTTTGGTCTCACTGAGCCAGTTGTACGATACCTAGTATAATTATGTTAGATGTGTGAGTGACATCAATTAATAAACAAAATATGGTATGGATGAGAACAGTTTGGAACCGATTGGTTTTGGAAGCGGACGCAGGAGACTGTGGACTGTGGGCATAAATATAGATCCACATATGCATCAGTGATGACATCGGAACGAAATTTTAGTTCGATCGGAATCCAACCGAATTGTCGTTTCAGTATTTCGAAATTCGGTACCCCGACCGAGCTTCGAAATTCCTTGGTCGGAATCCGACCGAACTCACATTTTGAGATTCCAAAATTCAGTATTCTGATCGAAATTCAAAATATTTGATATGAGGCTGTGATAGTTGGAAAGAGAACGCTCTTGCTACGTTGTTTCTTAAAGAATAACCAATAAGCATTGTTGCATTCAAACAGAAGTATGTGAATGCAACAAACGCTCTATATGTAAACCCGTCACCTCTTCCTAAACCTTACAATATCCTCTTTTGATCCAGTTTTCTATAAACCTCACGAAAACATTTCGCGAAAGTTTGTGCATCTATCTTCATATTGAACCGTTCTTACATTAACGTAATTTAAATTTTCATCAAATAACACTTCAAAAAAATTTTATAGCGACGAAGAAATAATAAGTGAAGGTAAACAGGTGTATCATCACTTAATACATCAACTGTGTGAGAATGTATCATTACATAATTACAACAACAACAACAATAATAATAATAGTCATATCCAAACAACCTGTTCAAAATTTTTGAAACACAGCTATGTGTTACACATAAACGTTTTGATATATCGCATATTTTCCATCCCTTTTTGTACAAGTCAACAATTTGTTCACGTTCACTCATTGATAGCGGTAATCCAGGACTGTACGTTCGACCCAACTGATTCGTTCCTTCAAATATTCTCAATCGACCTTACTTTGCGTTTTTATCTGTCATCTTTAACAGAATCATACAGCTGCATATTGACCATTACTAAAACATACGAAAAGCTTAGACAGAAATGGTGTCAAAGCGATACACTACCGTTTGATACACTCCAATTCGAACTGTTCTATGCTAGCAGGTGATCCACTAAACTTATACATAGCAATAACTCACAGTTTCAATTGATCTTATAATCAATAAATCTGTTTCATCGACTGAATTAAAATAATACTAAAATGTTGCGATGGTTCCTGGATGTACGAAGATGACTTTGTTTTATATAAGGAATGTATGTGGGTCAATGCTGAATCTGAACAAATTTCGTACATTGCATTCGCTCTTGTACTATATCAGAACTTAATCTTAATCCTGATCCTGTATTATATCAAAACTTAATCCTGATCCTGTATTATATCAGAACTTAATCTTAATCATGACAGGTTTTGCACAAATCTTTCCGCTCAACTTCACATTATTCAATTATTTTATTCCAATTAATGAGTGTGTTCAGTTCGACATTATTGATTCATTAATGCACAACGCAGCAATACTAAAGACAATGAGTGTAATAAAAGATAATAACGATACCACTAAAATCAACAGTGACAACGAAACTTCTAATGGTGATGCAGACAACAGGATAACGATGAAACTATCAGTAACAGTAAGAATACCAGTAAAGTTAATAACATCAACATAACAATTGCTGTAAGGCCGACCACCATATGAAAGCTATATATATCAAAGGTCCTCATAGAGGTGAGATCACCTATTTCTTGGTAATTTGGGCACGTCAGGGGGTAATGGAGGGAGTCGGGAAATTAGTATTTCGTGCTGTTGCTATATTATGATGGAACGCCACTGTGATGGCAGTGTGAGGGAGGGGAGGGTAATGACGGTCTGCCAAACCAATGAAGGGGTAATGAAGCACCCGAGTGTGGAGACCACTGGTGGATGTGAAAAGAGGAGTTCAGTTAATAGAAACGCAGATATGAGTCGTAATTAAAAGACTGAGAACCAACCTGAACTTCTGCCGGGACAAGTGATCGTTTGTTCGCTGTTACGTGTCGGTGGTTGTTCTTGATCAGTGGAGTTGCTGAAACGTATGAATTCATTGCTGCCGTCGGATGAGATTGATGACGGTGAAGAGTCGGTGACCGAACCGCCATCTGAGAGAAGATCTTCATTGGACGAGATCGATTCACGAATGGCGAATGCAAAATCGTCGATTGGTGGTAATCGCTCGGGATTGGCCGTTGAATTATTAGTCGAAGGATGATTATTCCGAGCGATCATCGTCGCTGCATTCTCGTGATTGTGCTGATAGGAATGATGAAGCATCGATTCGAAATCACCCTTCAATCAACAACTAAACATCTGCTGCAGTGCAGTGCACAGTGGGGAGAGTGCTTCAATCAATCGGTTCAGTTCCACTGCATTCACTTTTTCAGTGAAAACACATTCGAATGCAACAATTTTGCAATCGCAGTTTAAAGTTGTGAGTTTTTGCTGAGGTTGATTTTCAGTCGAATTTAATCGAGTTCAGAAACAGACAAAAGCGAAACTAGAAGGTACAGCGGAACTGAACAAAAGCTTGGAATTGCATCGTCCCTACGCGCATCTGAAGTGTTGAATTAAGGTCCACATGTGTTCCGCCTATATCCTTTAAAATCACTTTGAAAAGCTGATGATGGAAGTATGCCGCTCAAACAAATGGATCAGCTCATGACTGCTCTAGACAAGAACACTCTTATCCGATAGTAATAGATAGAGCCCATCCAATAAACGGTCATTCAACCCAATGAACTGGTCGATAGTTCAGTGATCACCCAACTATTTTACCAGCAGCCCATGAAAGCTGGCCCTGGTCATGAGATCAAAATGATGATATTCTCAACGGTAATAATATTCTCATTGTTTTGAAAGCAGTCATAATATTTTGACAACAGCTATTATCTATGATAATTTCTGAACCAGGTGTTGCTAACTAGTTTGAAAATCACCGTTTGCAATTGGCTTTCAATTAAGAACATCAAAGCAATTGCGCATCACTGAATAAATAGCAATTAAATAAGACCATAAACATGCTTACAATGGCATAACAGAAGTTTAAAAACGAACATTTAACCAAGCGTAAAAATCCCTCTCAAGACTTTCTGGTGTTGACATGTCAATGACGAAATGCTTTTCGTCGTGCATGAAATCTGCCATACCGGTCGAGATTGATGGATGGATGGATGGAT